GAGGAAGAGGAGGAAAGGAGGAGGGTGCTCATGAGGGAAATAGCGATGGCGATCGCTCCAGGAAGGTAGTGGGATGATGCAGCGATTGCGATCGCTTGAGGGAGGAGAAGACGGGCGGCGATGAGGGATATAGCGGTACCGATCGCTGGGGAGCGTTGGCGGGGCGATGAAGGATAGCGATTGCGATCGCTTGCAGGGGGAATATGAGAGGATATTTTAGGTGGCAACCAGCGGAGGCAACCAGCGATGGCGGTCGCTTTGGGAAGCTCGTGGGTTGATGGAGGGGTGGCGGTGGCGACCGCTTGACGGCGCATGTAGCGATGGCGATCGCTTGGGCAGGTCGCGATATTGTTCGGGGCGGTGAGGGCGCAAAGTGAAGATAAGGATGGCACTGCGATATCTAGGACGAGGAATGAGAGGGAGTCGCGAAGAGGGGGGGGGGGGGGAACTGGCAGCGATTGTGATCGCCCGAGTGGTCGGAGGGGCCGACTGTGGGAGGGCTGGACGTGTTTGCCGAGCGATCTCGATCGCTATGCGGCTACCGCCTTCTGCATGTAATCAGGGCTGCAGCCGCTCTGGCTTCGCGCGCGACGCGACGCGCGCTTCGCGCCGCGTGCGGGGCGCCACCTGGCGCCGTGGGAGCGGCGCGCCGCGCGATGACGGACGCCTGGGAGTTGCTGGAACAGCTGAGGTGCGCCACCGCATTCTTGTCCAAGCTGCAGCCTCGGAGCGAGCCATGGAAAGAGCTGCTCAACGCCCAGGCGACGCTGGCGACGACCATGCTGCATTCGTGGTCTTCCATTTCGTCCGAGGACTCGGCCGAGCTGGTGCGGGCCATTTCGGGGCTGCCATTGGGCGCGAAGCAGCGTGGTGATCTCCTGCGGGCTGTCACAACGCTCGCCGCTGCCTCGGCGCGCGCGCTGGTTGCCAACGCAGCTGCGCCCCAGAAGCTGCTGAGCAGCTCTCGCGCCCCCCCCCAACAGGACTTCACGGCCATCACGGCCTACCTCGCGGCGAGGCAGTGGGGGGCAATACTGGGCGAGGGCAACGACTTTCTGGGCCGCGCGGGGTCGCGCTCCAGGCGTCCAAGACGCTCGGGTGGAGGGCCATCCACGAACCTACAGTCCAGGTTGCCTGCTGCATCGCGCCGTAGGTAGATGGCGCCGACAAGGCGCTTCGACAATGTCCCGTGACCCCTCGGGGCTACCACAAGCGTGCGAAAAATTGCGCAACGAAGTTGCTCCCTTGGAAGCTGTGCAAGCAGATGGCGGAGTCCGAGGGCGCCCTCGTTTCGGCACTGCCCGCTTCCCCTGTGGACTACGCCAGGTTGCGTGCCGAGATGTGCGCGCGCGTTTCCCAAGAAGGGCCCAACGGCTTTTCCGTTGTATTCCGCGCATTTGTGCGGGCGGACGGCGCCCCCATGCGCGAGAGCACGGCGCGGATTCAGGCGCTGACTGCGTCGGGCTCGGCGCGGGGCATCGCGCTGGCGCTGGCGACGCCAAGGCAATGCGACGCCAGGGCAGTGCCGTGCAGGCGGCACCAACCGTCGTCGCCGCTGCCGCTCGAGGACGACGGCGCCGCTTCGAGCACTGCCACGCCAGCGCGTCGGGCATCGGGCCTGTCAGCGCAGGGGGCCAGGGGCAAGATCCTCGAGGAGCTCAAAGGCCGCAAGCCGAAGATGCCCCAGGAGAGCGAGGGCGAGGGCGACGGCGGCAGCGGCAGCGAGGAGACATATGCCGAGGCGGCGGGCGATGCGGCTGTCGGCGCCGCGAAGGTGAGGGGCGCGGGGCCACCCACCACACCGCAGGGCCACTGGGGGGGCGCATTGTGCGCGGTAGATAGAGTGACACCCCCAACGGGCGATGACAGACCCATCTCATACCACAGGGGCGGGCGACGAAGGGGGGGGGAAGGGGGAGGGGGGGGGGGGGCAGTGGGGCAGATAGAACCAACCTTCCCAGAAGGCCAAGACGAAGCCCATGAAGAAGGCGCCCATGAAGAAGGCGCCGAAGAAGGTGCCGAAGAAGGCGCCGACGACTGCGCCGAAGAAGAAGAAGAAGACGAAGGCGCTGAAGGCGCCGAAGGTGGGATTGCACAAGGCAGGGGAGCCGCCCTTCTCCGTGGAGTGGAGCAGGGGCCAGGTCTTGCGCAGGACAGGCAAGCGCGGACCAGGCCAGTCGATGGCGCTCAAGTTCGCGAAGTTCGGTGGCGACAGCGATAAGGCGATCGCGGCGGCCAAGAAGTGGGTGGCCAAAGCGATCGCGGGCGGCGCGTGAGTCGCGCCCGCGCTGCGCTCGCGCCGCAGGGGTGATGGCGCGCCATCTGCGCGGCACGGGGCCGCTGCCGCGCGCGGAGGTGGGGTGCTTCGGCGCGGCGCGCGTGCGGAAAATGCAAAAGGGATGCGGCCGATATGAATGACGAAAGGTGGAAGGCGTGATTGAGTAGCGGTTTCGACCGCTAGGAGGTGGATGGCGAGGGAGTGAGAAGGAGGGGGCGGTGGCGACCGCTTGAGGGAGGTTGAGAGGCAGATCGGGGTTGATGACAATGATGATGAAGTTTTCGCATGAGGTTTATAGCGATTGCGATCGCTCGGGTTCAATGATGGACTGCAGCGGGTGCGATCGCACGGGGGGAGGCTCATGGGGCCAACGTTGGGGAAGGAGGGGTGGTCGGACGGGTGGCGATTTCGATCGCTTGGAGTTGCGTGAGAGTGGGCGCGATCGTGGCAACGCTTAGTTTCCCATCGCGAGCCGTTTTGGCGCTGCGCGGTGCCACCCGCTGCAGCTGCGCGCCACCCGCGGCGCCCGCGGCTCTGCGCGGCGCCGACCGCGCTCGCGCGCGATGGCGGAGGAGTTCCTGTCCGCGGCACAGGCGTTCGCGTCGCAGTTGAACGGCCCTGGCGCCGAGATCGAGCGCGACTGCCAGCGCGGCGGCGAGCGCGACGGCGCGGGCGGCAGGCGCGACGGCGTGGGCAGCGAAGCCGTTGCACCAGTCACGGAGGACGACTACGCAGGGGAGGTGGCGTCGCCAGTGGACGTGCCACCGTCGCCGTCGCCGCCGCCGCCGCAGAGCTACAGCAGCTATGCGGCGGAGAGCGGCGACAGCGCGCCGCTGCCGAAGCAGCGCCACCCGCTGCGCGTGCCCGTCGGCATCTACGCGCAGCCGCCCGAGCAGCCGCCGCCGAAGCGCCCGCGCCTATCGGCGGCCGCGGCTTCGGTGTCGGACGCCCTCGACGTGCTCGCGAGCGCCGTCGCGGCGCCGATGCCGCCGCGCTCGAAGGCGGCGCCAAGGGCGCGCGCGCCGACAGTCGCGCCATGGCGGCAACGGCTGCAGCAGCAGCTGCCGCGGCCACCGAGGGCATCGGCAACGGCAGCATCAGCAGCTGTGACGGCAGGACCAACGCCACCAGCAACGCCGCCTTGGCGCTAAATCAGCATCAGCGCCACCATCAGCAGAAGCGAGAGCAGCAGCACGCACTCTGCCGAAGGCCCCCTGCCTAGGCCCAGCACCACCAGCAACGCCACCGCCTGCAGCAGCAGCAGCAGAAGCGAGAGAAGCGGCAATCAACGCGCATCCAGCAGCAGCCGCAGCAGTCGCAGCGGCAGGCGAAGCAGCAAATGCAGACCAGGCAGCAGGCGCAGCCAGCAGCCGCAGCAGCTCCAGGTCCAGACGCAGCAGCTGCATACCTTGCTGCAGCACCGCATGCCGCAGCCGCAGCGCGGGCGAGCGCGTGCGAGAAGCGGGCCAACAACTACACGCCCGAGCAGGTCATTGACCTTCAGGCGGAGTCGGCCGTGGCGAAGGCGATGGGCCTGCGGTGGAATCAGCGCGGCCCTGCGGGCCCGCAGCAGGGCGGCCCCGACGCGTGGCGGGGGCAGCAGTGCCGCGCCGACAGAGGTGTCTGGGCCAATCGGGACGGTCGGAATCGCGAGTTCTTCAACGCGAAGTACGGCGGTGGCAAGAACAAGGGCAAGGACAAGGGCTGCGGCAAGGGCATGGGCAGCGGCAGGGGCAAGGGCTTCGACAACGCCACCGCCAGCAGCACCGCCGCCAGCAGCACCGCCGCTAGCAGCGGCAGCCGCCAGCATGGGATGCAGTACTTGTGAGCAGCGGCGCAGCCCGCTGCACCTCGGCAGCTGCGGCGCTTCGCGGCAGCCGCTGCGCTGCCGCGCTCGCTGCTGCGCCCGTTTCGCGGCAGCTGCGGCGCTTCGCTGCGGCCAGCTGCGGCAGCGCCGTGCTCGTGAGCGTCGCGGCGGCGGCGCGTCGCTTATAATCGCTTGAGTTCGCGCTTGTGAGCGCGCGCAGAGACGGCCGCGCATGGTCGGCGGCGGCGGCGGCGACGGCGGCGGCGAACGCGGCGACGGCGTTAGCGACGGTGAGCGGGTCTGGTGCCTGGGCGGTGGAAACAGTCCAATTGTTGGGTTGGCAGGTGTAAAAACGACCCCGATCGTTGATGGGGGGGAGGGGGGGGGGGCGAAGCGAACGCGCGATGGTTGGCGACGAGCGATTTCGATCGCTCGGGGGGAAGGGTGGTCTGAATCAGTTGGTGACAGCGATTCTGATCGCGGCCTGAGGGGCTTGCGGGGGACGTTGGAGGGCGCCATGGGCGATTCCGATCGCGTGGGGGTGGGCTGCACGTGTATAGGATAGCGATTTCGATCGCTCCCGATGTGGGCATGGTTCGAACGCGCAGCATGCCATTGCCGTTGTTGGCTCTGTCCCCGCGCGCGGCCTGCAGCGGGCGGCGCCGCGGCCCGCGGCGGGCGGCGGGCGACATCGCGGCCTGCGGCGGGCGGCGGGCGGCACCAGCAGCGGCGGCGGCAGCCGCGGCAGCAGCAGCAGCAGCAGCAGCTGCCAACACCACCGTCGGCAGCACCGACATCAGCAGCAGCAGCAGCAGCAGCAGCAGCAGCACCGCTGCAGCAGCAGCGGCAGCAGCTCCAGCAGAAGCACCATGCCGGCGCAGGGCGAGTGGTACCGCCTCGGGTGCGCGGTCCCAGGCTGCACAAAGAAGTGCCTCAAGCAGGCGCCACAGGAGTGCTACACCTGGTACGAGGAGCACCTGGAGAAATCGACCGCTGAAAGCCATGTGTCCATCGAACAATGGCAGCGGGCCGAGACGGTGGTCACGTCCACCGCCACTCCCCTCGACCCCGAGGAGGTCGACGAGTGGCGCGCGTGGGAGGCCAGGGAGCTGGCTGAGGCAGGCGCAGCATCAGCAGCAGACGCAGCAGGCGCAGCAGCAGCAGCAGCCACCTCCGCGAGTCGCGGGCAGTCGCGCGAGTCGCGGTCGCGGTCGCGCATGCGCCGCCGCCGCGACAGCCGCGCCAAGCGCGAGGAGGCCAGCCCGCCGCCAGCGGCCCGCGTCCCGCGCTCGCCGAATCGCAGGGGCGAGCCGACCTCGCTCGCCGCCGCCGCCCGCCGAGGCGTCGTCGCTGGCGGCGGCGGCCTCCGCGCCAAGTCGGCGCCCTCGGCGCCGCCGCCCGCCGTCGCCGCCGATCAGGTCCGCTCCCTCCACGAGACTGCGGAGTCTCTCAAGGAGACGATGATGGCGGTGGCGGGCGTGGTAGCTGCGGGCTCTGCTGCGGCCTCTTCGTTGTCGGCGTCCAACGCGGTCACCATCCTCAACGAGACCATGGCGCCGATGGCGCCGCTGCAGGTGAGCGCGACGACGGCGACGCTGTCCATGGGCGCGACCAATCAGATCGTGGACCACATCAGGCGGGCCGAGAGCTGCGCGGAGACGGCGGCGGACGTCTGCAGCAAGGCCGCGGCCGCTTTCCAGCGCGAGGCGGCGAGCCCGGCGCCGGTGCGCGCCGACGTCGAGCAGGCGACGCGGCCGCGCGGCCTCTAAGGTTGCACCGCGGTTGGGGACAGATCGATTAACTGATGGACACCAGGAAGCTGAATGGTTAGCTGGTGGTGGCACCAAGTGGCTAGCCATTCGGCATCCATGCATCCAGCAGGTAGTCGCTCGGCTCTCAACTGTCACCAGGCTGCCTCCCCGCGCCCCCGCCCCGCAGCGCTGGCAGCGCTGCCGCGGCCGCGCGCGCCCGCCGCCGCTGGCCCCCGCCGCGCCCGCCGCGGCGGCCCCCGCCGCGCGCCGGGGGCGCCGCTGGCCCCGCCGCGCCCGCCGCGGCGACCCCGCCGCCCCGCGCCCCGCCGCGCCCGTCGCCGGGGCCGCCCGCACGCCTCCGCCGCGGCGACCCCTTGCGGCGCCGCGCCGCCCCGCGCCCGCCGCCGCGGTGACGCGGTGACCGCGCGGCCTTGCGGCGCCGCGCCGCCCCGCGCCCGCCGCCGCGGTGACGCGGTGGCCGCGCGGCCTATCGTTGGCAAAAGGCGTCGCGAGGGGAAGAGGTGACGATCGCTTTGATGTCGAGCGCGTGGGTTAGCGATGCCTATCGCTTGAGATAGCGACGTCGATCGCTTGGTCGGAGCGGCGGCGCGGGATGTTTGGGGGGTGGGGTGGGGGGGGGGGGGGGGGGGAGGGGTGGGGGGATGTTAGCGATGTTGATCGGTTGTGGGTAAGCCCCCCCCGATGGCAAATCGCTTGGGGTAACAATGCCACATTGGGTTTGGATTAGCGCCAGTCATCGCTTTTTTTTTGGGGGGGGGGGAGGCGGTTGAAGGATGTTGAGTGGGGGGGGGGGGGGGGCGTTAGCGATGCCGATCGCTTGGGTAGGCGATGACCGCCAATTGGGTTAGCGATGCCGATTTTTTTTTTTTTTTTGGGGGGGGTGGTGACGATGGATGTTGGGTGGGGATTGCGTAGCGATGCCGATCGCTTGGGTAAGCGGCGACCGTCAATTGGGTTAGCGATGTCGATCGCTTGGGCGGGGCGGCGGTGAGGGATGCGGATGGGGGGGGGGGGGGGGGGGGGGGGGGGGGGGGGGTAGCGACCTCGATCGCTCGAGAGGGGCGATGGTGATTGATGTTGAGGGGGATGGTGTGGCGATGGCGATCGCCCGCGAGCGTAAGCGATGGCGATCGCTCGTGGGAATGATGATGAGGTCGGGGGAGCGAGATTGCGAGATGGCGGTGGTGGTGATCGGAGTAAGTGCACCTAGGGCCCTGGTAAGTACCGCAAGTCTCATAAGTTCCTCACAATGATTTCTTTTTGTTTTATTTTTGTTATAGTGTGCTGTCTTTTGTTATCCTGGAATTTCGGGTGCGATGGTAGCACAAAGATAACATATGATAACATGTTATCCGAAATGATAACATGTTATCTTGCAACATAACACACCCAGGATAACATATGATAACATGTTATCGTTTAGGGTAACAGGTTATATGTTGTTATCCTGGTGTCCGAAATCCTAGGATAACATTGGATAACACCAGATAACAAAAATAGCAAAAAGATAACATCGTGTGGAACTTATCGTACTTATCACACTTAGGCGCGGTAAGTAACTTAGCGATGTTGACCGCTTGTTCATAACGCTCGTGGTTGTTGATGTGACGCCATTGCTGGTGTAGATCGAGCGGGTGAGCTTTGTGCTCGTCCTTGCGACGAGAATCCCCCCGCCCGATCGCGGGGCTTGCGCGCCGCGCGCCGCTCTCGGGGCCCGCGCGCCATGTCCGCCGCGACGGGCGCCGCCCAGGCCAAGGACGAAAGCGACTGCGACAGCGAGGCGACGCTGAAGCTCGCGGGGCCGAACGATGATATCTTGCACGCTGCTATGATTGCCGGCCTCGGCTTGGGCAACGGGCAGGCAAGCGACGCCGCGGCGGGCGGCGCCGAGGGGGGCGGCGCCGCGACGGGCGGCGTTGAGGGGGGCGACGCGGCGGTTGGCGACGCCGAGGGGGGCGACGCCGCGGCGGCAGGCAGCGCGGGTGACGCCGCGGCGGCAGGCAGCGCGACGTGCGACGCCGCGGCGGCAGGTTGCGCGGGCGATGCCGCGGTCGACGCAGGCAGCGTGGGCGGCGCCGCGGCCGTTGCAAGCATCGTGGGCGACGCCGCGACGCCACCGGCGGCGACGCCGAGTGCGCCCATGAAGGGGGCGCGGCCGCCGAAGAAAGCCAGGGGGGAGGCGAAGGCTGCAGATGCGGCGGTCCAGCGCGCGGCGAAGGGCAAGGCTAAGGGCAAAGCCATGTCGGCGCCGAAGCCACCGCCCAAGAAGGCCACGGCCAAGGCGACGGCCGCGGCAGCGCCTGTGCCACCCAGGGCCAAGTCGGCGAGTGCGACAGCGCTTGTGCCCCCCAGGACCAAGTCGGTCAAAGCTGCAGCGCCTGTGACCAGGGCAGCCGTGGCGGGTGCGGCAGCGCCTGCGCCCAAGGCCGCGGGCAAGGCCATGGCTGGCTACGCGGACATCGGCAAGTGGATCCAGAAGGTGCCAGTCCGACCGCCGCAGGCGGACTCGACTGCTGCGAGTTCGGGGACGGCTACACCCAGCAAGACGGGGTGGGGCGAGGGCTGCTCCTCTCCACAGAGGTTCGCGGTGGGGAGCTTCGCGGCGCTATCGAGCCCGCAGAGGGGGGGCCGCCTGAGCGACCAGCGCGAGCTGGGCCTGGATGCTCTCGACGACACGTTCCACTGCGGTCGGTGCGGCCAGCCGTGCGACGTGATGTCGTCGTCGTATCCCATGCGGGTCGCGACGATGGGGCAGGTCTTCAGGTGCATGTTGTGCTCGTCGCGCGGCGTCCAAGTCGCTCGTTGCGAGGAGTTGGGTGCGATGAAGGCGCGGCTGCTGCGTTTCAATGATCACGGGCGGAAGGCCTTCTGGAGCGGCCTGCAGGAATGCACGAAGAAGTTTGAGTTGCAGAAGCACATGAGCTTCACGCTGCAGACGCTCGCGGAGAAAGGGCAGCGGCACGGCCAGAAAGGCGGCTATTACCCATTGATGTGGTACAAGAAACAAGGGTTCCCGTGGCGCCGCATCAAATCCACGTGCACGGACGTGGTTCAGCACCCCGTGCCGGGCAAGTGCTACCGCGTTGAAATTCATGAAATAGGGCGCTGGGAGCAACAAGTGGGCAGAAAGGTCCAGGAGGAGTCCGCGAAGGGCGTCGACGCGAGCGGCGGTGACGTTGAAGCGGACGGTGACCGCGAGAGCAGCGAGGGGGCCGACTACGTCGACAACGCCGACTTCGGGGAATGCGAGGAGGAGTGCGAAGGCGGCGAGGAGGAGGAGGGCGGCGAACGCGACGAGGTGATCAGTGATTCATCTGCGTCGCCCAGCGGCAGCGGCAGCGATGGTGATCGCGTTCGCCCATCAGAGGACGGCTCGAGTCACGAGCCACCGACGCCACCCATCAAGGCAAAGCATCGCCGCAAGGACGGCACCAAGAAGGTCTCACTCAAGGACGAGCTGCGCAGCGATGACGACTTTGCGCGCATCAGTGCACGCGCAGAGATAAGAAGCATCGCAAGGACGGCGATGCGAAGGTCAGCAAGCACGGCGGCAACACAAAGCTATCGAGTGATGCGATGATCAGAGCAGCATTGAAGCGCCCTGAATGCGAGGAGGAGTGCGAAGGCGGCGAGGAGGAGGAGGGCGGCGAACGCGACGAGGTGATCAGTGATTCACCTGCGTCGCCCAGCGGCAGCGGCAGCGATGATGATCACGATCGCTCATCAGAGGGCGGCTCGAGTCGCGAGCCACCGACGCCACCCATCAAGGCAAAGCATCGCCGCAAGGACGGCACCAAGAAGGTCTCACTCAAGGACGAGCTGCGCAGCGATGACGACTTTGAGCGCATCAGTACCACGCGCAGAGATAAGAAGCATCGCAAGGACGGCGATGCGAAGGTCAACAAGCACGGCGGCAACACAAAGCTATCGGGTGATGCGATGATCAGAGCAGCATTGAAGCGCCCTAAAGACAAGGCCGCGCACACGGACAAGGGCAGAAGCAGCAATGACAAACACAAGGACAAGGGCACACGCAGCAAGGCCACGCGCCTTGATAAGAGCAGCGCGGGCCGCGCCAAAGACACGTCCACCCGCGCGAGCAGCAAAGGCAAGGCCAAGGGCAAGGCCGCTGAGAAGAAGAGAGCCGCCAGCACTAAGGAGAAGAACCACCGCGACGACGACGCCCATTGCTCACAAGAAGCACAAGAAGTCGCTCCCCACCAGCAGCGGCAGCGACATCAACGCCGACAACGACTCCCCCGAGCTGCCGCCGCCGCACGAGACCGCCCAAGAGAGGAAGACCCGCGAGAAGGCTGAGAGGGAGAGCGCCAAAGAGAGGATGGACACGTTGAAGAAGGCGGAGAAGGAGATGGCAGCCAAGATGCCCTTGGCGACGCGGGCGCAGGCGATTATCATCACCCTCTTACCCCCCCCCCCCCCCATCCTCCTCCAGCCCACCCCCGAGCACTGCTCGGCATCCTTCTCCTCCTGCAGGCGAAGTTGATGATCCCGCGCCAGAGGCTGGAAAAAGCCATTGAACCCGACGGGTTCGGCAAGCTCCCCGATGCCATCAAGAAGAACGCGACCGACAAGTTGCAGGCGCTGTCGGCCATGCTTAGGGCGAGCTCGAATATTGCCTCCAGGCGCTGGGGCCCCTCCAAGTTCACGTGGACGGCGACCGAAGCGACCGACATCGCCAACGCGGCGAATGCACAGGGTGTGTTCGTGAGCACGATGTGCAAGAGCATCCAGACCAGGAAGTAGGCATGGCCTGGACGTCATCGGCGTGGCCTCGGCGCAGCCACGCATCGCTAGGAGTCGCTGCAGGTAGCGGCGCTGTCGGCCACGTGGTGCCTATTAGCGTCTTTCCCCACCATGGCCATGGTGGGGGGATTGAGGACGGCGGCGCGCCCTGCCCACCACCGCGCGCACCACGGCCGCAAGCCTTGGCAGAGACACAGCAGCCTGCCGTCTGATCCAGGCGCTTCGCCTGGGCTTGCGCAGCCAGGCAGCTTTATTTTGTTGAGCTGTATTCGTCCAGCCGCAGGCTGGGTTATTTTGAGCTGTTGAGATTTATATTTGCTTGCAGGCGCCCAGCTGTATTCTGCTGGAGCTTGCGCAGCCAGAGAGTGCAGCTGCCGCCGCTGGCGTGCACCAGCCATGTGCCTTGTTCCTTGCTGCGCATATGCCACCCAGCAGGGATGCCTTTCCGCGCGGCGCAGCTGCGCCACGCCGTGCCATGGCGCGGGCGAGGCGCATCGTGACGGAGGGGAACGACGAGGATGATGCACAGGGGGGGGGGGTGAGGCGCCCCCCCTGCCACCCGCCGCGCGGCACATCATTTCCGCGCGGCGACCACCCGCCGCGTGGCGCATCATTTCCGCGCGGCGCAGCGCATTTGCGCAGCGCCGCGTTCCAGGTGCGGGCGAGGCGCGCGGTGGCGCGCGTTGCCCCTCTCCCACCGACTGCTGCGCGTTGATCGCGCAGCGGCTGTGGCTTGTACATGCAAAACGGTGATATCAATGTGGATCGCTGGATGTGGGTGGTGCAGTCCTGGAGGTGGCAGAAGCGGGTGGTCGAGTGACCTAGCGATGACGATCGTTGTGGGGTGGAGGGTAGCGATGCAGATCGCTGCGGGAGGGATGGCAGCGATGGCGACCGCTATGATGAGGAGCAGCGTGGGGATCAAAATGTTCAGCGATGGCGATCGCTTGGGGCGGGGTGATGAGCGGTGGTTGGGACGAGAAGTCGGATGATGATGAGGATGATGCTGAGACGGCGGAGTGGGATGAGGAGGACGGAAAGTGTTGCCAGCGATGACGATCGTTTTCGAGACAGGGGGACTGGGCGCAGTCATAGAGCAGCGTCGGCGCGATATCGTCGCGCACCCGCGCGCCGCATGGTTGCCTCGGCCGCGCCGCCAGGCGAGCGCGCCGCCAAGCGTCGCCGATTGGACGGGCTCGTCGCCGTGCCACTCACCACTGCCAGGGCACTCGTGCGCCTCGCGAAGCATGTCGCGGATGACCCAGATCGTGCTGCATCGAAATCTCGCAATGCGGTCAGTTCCGCCGTTGCCGAGGCTTACGACGCCGTCGGCACGCCGATTGAGTTCCCAATGGCCGACAAGGCTGAGACGCCGTTCAACTGGCACGTCGGTAATGTCGACAATTTGTTGCGGCACGTGTTCCGAGAGAGCCCCGAATACGCGGCGGTTATCGAGCGGGCGGTTGAAGGCGGCATACCGCTCACACTGGTGTTATACTTGGACGAGATCACGCCAGGCGGCGCGTTGGCGCCGCGGCACGACCGAAAATTCTGGATGGTATTCTTCAGTTTCCTGGAATTTGGTTCCGACATGCTACACAGGCACGAGTTGTGGCTTCCATGTGGCGTCCTGCGCTCGAAGGTCGCCAACGGCGTGAACGGCGGCATCAGCAGCGTCGTTCGGCTCCTCCTGAGGAATATGTCCCTCGCTCCAAGCAGGCTGGCCACTGCTGGCGAGCGCGTGCCCTTGGCCGACGGCGCCTCGGTGCTGATTCGGGCGCGCCATTGCAAGATCCCCGCCGACATGGACGCCCAGAAGGAAGCATTCAGCATGAGAGGTGCCAACGGTTGGCGGCCGTGCATGCGACGCAAGAACGCCATCAGAAAAGGAGCCCGCGTCGCGGGCGACGTCGACAACTATTTCGTCGACATTTGCTGCCGCGACTTCGCGCGTTTCGACGCGCAGTCGGACGACGAGGCGTGGGGGCTCTGGGACGAGCTCGCCGCGGAGGTTGGCCACCTGTCAGCGACCGAGTTCAAGAAGCTCGAGGTCGCCAGCGGGTTCAACTACCACGCTAATGCGCTGCTTGACGATCACGAGCTGCGGAGCGCGGTGCGACCGTCATCGTCGATGTACGACTCAATGCACAACCTCTGGAGCAATGGCACCATCGGTTGGGAAGTGTTCGCTTTCCTGGGCGCGTGCAAAAGGAAGGCTGGCATATCTTTCGCCGACTGGCGCAAGTACGTGCGTTGCTGGTCGTGCGCTGGCGGCTCGTCGGCGACGCGGCATGCGTTCACGACTGGGCACGAGACCGCGTGCAAGAAGTCGTTCAAATCTGGCGCAAGCGAGCTGATCTCCCTGTTGCACATCCTGATGGCGTGCGCCGAGGAGCGCGTCGCCGACATTCCGTCGCTCGAGCGCGAGCTCGATTCATTCCGCGCGTGCTGCCTGACGGCGGACGCATTCCTGCGGGCCAAGCGCGGGCTTCCCGCCCCAACCAAGGGGGAGTTCATCGCGCTGGCAGAGGTCCATTTTGACCTCCACCAGCGGGTGTACGGCTCCCGCTTCGTCAAGCCGAAGCACTACTACGTGTTGCACAACGCGGCGCGGGACTTCCCCAAAGCGCACCTCTCCCCCCCCCCCCTCCGCGGGCGTTGCGTTTGAGCTGGGGGTGTTTGAGGGCGCCCCCTCCAACGCCACCCGTCGCAATCGAACGCCGCAGCGCTGACCAGGGGCCCAAGCAGCTCGACTGCTTCGTCACTGAGCGGCGCAACAAGGCGGCGAAGGGCATCGCCGAGTCCGTGACGAACTGCTCCAATTTCGAGCGCACGGTCTTCGGGGCCGCTGTCCTGCGCCAGTTGCGGATGCTCAGGGGCATGGGGCCGTCTGGCAACGCGCTGGTGCCGCCGATGGTTGACCCGCCAGAGCTGCGCTCCGCGATCGGGGCAGCCGAGGTCTCCGTGGCGCTGTCGCTGCGCTGGGAGGGGGCCCAGTTCAAAGCAGGCGAGATCGTTCGCTCGCGCGGTGGCGAGTGCTTCGTCGTGGGCGCGCGCGCCGCCATTTCGGGCGACTTGCGCATCGTCGCGCGCGGGATCGAGATCCACGCGCGCGGGGGCGGCGTTAGCACTGGCCGAAAAAAAAAAGATAGGGCGCGACGCGCCGTCGATGCGCAGGAGGCTGATGAGTGCGGGGGGAGCGATGGTGATCGCTTGGGCGGAGCGGTGGCGACCGCTTTAAGTAAGTGGGGGGTTGGGGGGGGTGGGGGGGGGGGGGGGGGTGGGGGGGGGGGGGGTGGGGGTGGGTGGGGGGGGAGGGGGGGGGGGTGGGGGTGTGGGGGGTGGGGGGTGGGGGGGTGGGCTGTGCCGGTGGTGGGGTGTGGGTGGGGGGGGGGGGGGGGGGGGGGGGGGGGGGGGGGGGCCCCCTGAGAAGGAGGAGCGGGGGGGGGGGGGGGGGGGGGGAGAGGATGAGGATCGAGCGGTGGGGATCCGCTTGGGCGGAGCGGTGACGACGACGAGCTTGAGGAGGAGGAGGGGGGGGGGGGGGGGGGGAGGAGAAAAGGGGGGGTGGGGGTGAGGGGGGGGGAGAGGAGGGAGAGGAGGAGGGTTGAGGGGCGAGCGATGGGGGTCGCTTGGGCGGATCGGCGGCGACCGTTTACGGGGGGGAGGAATGAGAGGATATGCGCGATATGGAGGGGAGCGATGGTGATCGCTTGAACGATGGCGGGGGCGATGGCGATCGCCCTGGCGGAGCGGCGGCGACCGCTTTAGAAGGAGGCGTAGGAGGAGGACGGCGACGAAGGCAGGATGAGGAGAAAGGGGGGGAATCGCTATAGCGATGGCGATCGTTGCAGGAGGCGAGGGGGGGTGGGCAGGACAGGGCGCTCCGCGGGCCGCTGCGATGGAGGGCCAGCTGGTCGCGCTTGTGGCGCGGTGCCGCGAGCGGCAGGCCGAGCTGTCGCAGCGGCGCTCTGTGCGGGAGGCCCCGCGCCCCCTTCCAATCCAGCGGTAGCGATCGCTCTCTTCTTATTATTCTTCATCCTCTTCCTCCTCCCCCCATCGACCTCTCCTTATCCTTTTCCCACCTCCTCCTCCTCCTTCTCCTCCCCCCCCTCCGCTTCTCCTCCTCCTCCTCCTCGTCCTCCTCCTCCTCCTCCTTCTCCTCGTCCTCCTCATCCTCCTCCTCTTCCACCTCCTCCTCCTCCTCCTCCTCCTCCTCTCCCTCCTCCTCCTCGTCCTCCTCCTCGTCCTCCTGCTCCTCCTTTCCCTCGTCGTCCCCCCTTCTCCTTCTCCTCCTCCTCCTCGCCCTCCTGGGCGCAGATCCAGAGCGGACGGAATCCGCCCACTGCGGGCGGGAGCACTGCGGGCGGCGCATTTCCATGCCACTTCCGCCACCGCAGGCTCGACAGCAGCTGGGCCCGACGCAGGCAGATCCTTGCGTCGGGCGCAGCAGGCAAGGCCTCGCGGCACTGCGTGAGAAGAGGGCCCCGCCGACGGGCTGGGCGGCGCAGCGGGAACGCCGACCGCCTCGGTCAGCGGGGTCAACAAACGAAGATCCATTGCGCGTTTCCGCGCGCCGTCAATCTTGAATGCGCCAGCGCGCAGGCGATCGAGGATTTGCCTGCGGTCCTTGGAGAGCCTGAGCGGCTTGCATTCTGACGCTAATGACACCGCGCGAGAGGTGGTGAATGAAGCGCATGACATGCAGCACAACACAGGCTTAGATGCAACATGAGAAGTCCCCACCGGATGAGCTCTCAACCCAGAATCGCGCAACGCGGCTTGCGCGGCAAGGATTCTCTGCTCAAGGGTGGGGGGCTCTGGCTTGACAAGGATTGAGGGGGCTGCAGAGGTGCTAGGACGCTGGCGGTGCAGGCAATCAACAGTCGCGGCCGACCCACCTGCTCTCGCAATCCACCTCCCAGTAAGTCCCACCATCCTCCTCTGCGTGCTGAGAAGCTTCAAAAACTCGGGTGGCACACGCGGCTCGCGA